AAACTAGCTGCTAAACTGCCATGTTTATATATATGCTCATAAGCATATTTACATAAATGTGTGCACACACATAGACATAGATATGCATACTGATCAGCAAAGAAGGGCTAGGTTATGCTGCTATAACAAATGACCCCAAAATATAAACCCTAATAATTTCTTGATCATTATATATTTCCATTTTAGGGAATTCTGCTTCAAGTTATCTTTACTCCTAGATCCTGGCTGATGGAGAGGTTGTTACACTTGTGGTGGCAGAAAGAAAAATAATATGGTGGCACCACCAGTCAAGAGATATCTTGCCCTGGTCCACACTTTTTAGAAGACACTGATCTGGCCCACCCCTGGTTATGTGCCTCTTAATGGGACAAGTAATATGAAGTCCAAGCATCTCACCCCTCCTCGCCCCACCTGGACTGTACTCTAGGTTCTAGGATCCCAGCATTTCTGCACAAATGTCCTCTGTGACGGAGGCCCTCTCCTCCGAGTTCATTCTTCTGAAGGCAGATAAGGCTTTAGGAGCATGTACCCCTTAAGCCCAAGAGTTAGCCAATGTGTGATGTTTGTAAGGAATGCAGATGGAACTTGAAAATGTGGGTTGTGTGTTCAGAGAAATGAGCTCAAGCCCCTCATGGTATGGGACAATGGGAAATTAGGGGCCCTACTTTCTTTACTTCAGGAGAATAGTCAGTGTGTAGCACAACATAATAAACCATACATTTCCCTCTGAATTAAAGTACATTTTTTACATATGAGAGTCATTTGATTCTCTATTCTGTGCCACTGATCCATATTTCTATGTTTAGGCCAAAATCATATTGATTTCATAAGTAATTCTATTCTGTACTCTAATATCTGGTAAGGCAATTCTCCTCTCATTATTTTCAGTGTCATTGATTATTCTTGGATATTAATTTTTCCACATAAATTTTAAAAGGCATTTTATTGCAGAAACTCTGTTGGGATACTAATGGGAATTATATTTATATACTTATATAAATGTAACATTGATATTTTTAACTAGTAAGTATTCCTATCCAAGAATATAGTATGCCTTCTACTAATTAAGATTGATTTCTTTTCTGACCCTTAATAAAATTTTACAAAACTGGCTCTGAGTCTTTTTGGTAAAATTTACTGCCAAACAGTTTTGATCACTATTGTGAGTTAACTGTGTTCCCATTTCCCCATTTTTACCGCTCACACAAAGGAAACCTATTTCTTCTGCTTATACTTATCCTATATCCATCCTCACCGAATACACTTATTTTACCAAAGGTATTTCTTTATAAATATATAATATCATCAGCAAAAAAGATAAATTTTGTATCTTATTTCTCAATGTTTCATTACGTGTTCTTTTTGTACTGCATTTGCTAGAACCACCAATACAACAGCCATAGCTGTCAAGCTATTCTAGTCCCCGATCTAATTGAAGTATATTTTAGTATCGCACCAGTTGTTGCTTTCTGATGAATGGTCTTTATTTCCTTCCAAGAAATTATCTTTGTTCTTTCTCCACTTTGAGTATTTTTTTAACAGCTGCTGAATTATAGCCCTATAGTCCTTTTTCTGCATTGCATTATACAGGGTCAAGTTCAGCTGTGAAGAGCAGGTAACTTAAAAGTCACAGTGGCTTAAAACTGTGAAGAAGTTTATTTTTCTCTGGTGTATAAATGTGGCGAGCCAAGGGCTGGCATGACAGATCCCCAGTCATTGGGACCCAGGCTCCTTCTATCCTGTTATTCCACCAGCTACAGTCCAACAGATGCCTCAGGGTCAAACACCACGTTTTCATTCCAGGCAGAAGGAAAAAGAACATGGGAAAATAAAGGGCAAGTCCCCTCCCTTTGGAAGATCTTGCCAAAAGATGCACACACTCCATCTGCCTGCATTATATTGGTGACAAGTTAGTCCTACGGCCATGCCTAAAACCATCAGAGGCTGGGAAGTACAGCCTTCTACTCCTTTTCTTTTCTTTTTGCCTTTTGTGGTTTTAAATGACTATTTTACAGGATTCTGTTTTCTCTCCTTGCTTAGCATATTGATGACATTTCTTTTGAAAAAAATTAAAGCTTGCAATATACATTTACAGCTAACACAATTGCACACCATAGAGTCCTATGAACTTGCTGTGGTTGGGCGTCTACTTCACTGTAAAATTCCTTGCAGTAAGTGTTGCAAGATACTAAGCTCCCCTGCATTTCGAAACTGAATTTTCTGCTTTGGCTCCTATTTCTTAAGAAAAGACTTTGTATGTCTTAATAGACATACTCTCTTATAAAAGGATATGAAAATTATTTTGCGACATCAAGTCAAAATCTTATCAATTGTGTATATTCTAGGCACCAACGTAAACACTGACTTCCTTCCAAAAATCTGAACAGAATCATTAATGATTCTTTAATTTTCCAAAACCACATACATAGGTGACTTAGATGATTTGAATTTAGAGGGTTGTTTTATTATGGGCCATTACTAGAAAAATACGTAGCCAATGAGATTTAAAAAGATAACAATTTGAATGATAACTAATACAAAGTTTAGTTATATTTTACATCAAGAAAAATGGGTTACAGCAGGCTTAATACTGAACTTCTCTCTGCTCACTACCACCCTTAGTATGTTTCTTGGGCCACAGTGAAAGTGACTTATTTCTCACTCAGTGGAACTTCACTAAAGCCACCGCCAAGTCTGGGCACATAACCAGAATGCCAGGTCATAAAAGGGCTGGGACAGCCGTGATGGGTCAAAGGACATAAAACAAACCTATCTTCGGATGTTCAGTGAATTTTGTTCTGACTTGTTGAGAGACGTTTCTGCTCTCTCATCCATGTTTTACTAGGATCAAGTAGATTTCAGATACAATCACCAGCTACTTTACTCCTGCATGGGGAGAACTCTGACAAGGCCCTTTTAACAACGCTTTCAGCTTTCCCTTAACTACTCTTAGCCTTGATTACGGGAACAGAATTTGAAAATGGAGCAAGTTTGGGAGCTTAACCTAAGATGCAACTACTATTAATGCATCTGTAAAATTTGCATTTTAAAAACCAATGCAAAAATGAGTCAGGCAGAAATGGAATCCAATCATCAAATTTTAAAGATTGTTTTAAGTCCAATTTTCTCTTTAGTTTATAACTTAAATGCTAATGTTTTGGAGCACAAGTTAGCAATTTTTCTCCAGTAAAAGGCCACATAATCAACAATCTATGATTAGCAGGCAATACTGTCTCTGATGCAACTACTCAACTTCACCGTTGTAAAATGAAAGCAAGCAGAGACAATATCTAAATGAATGGGCATAGCTGTGTTTCAACAGAATTCAGTTACTAACCCAGCAGACTAGATGTGACCTGCCAGCATTATTTTGTGCACCTCTTATTTTAGAAAAACTGAGTTTATACCCTCAAGTTACAACACTTGTCTGCATATTTTAAAATGATAAGATAGTACTGTCATTCAAAACTGTGAAGTGGCTACCTACTTATTTGTCACCAAAATATTGAACTGGCTAAGAACTGTAAATTCTCTAGACCCCATGTACTAGCAAGCTTACCAGTCAATGGTGTCTCAAATACTGCAATCCATATAATTTCATAAGAGAGAAATTATACAAGGTAATGTTGAAAAACAGAGGCCTAACTCTTCATATGTAGTAATTTAAGGACATATACATTCTTCTGAAGCAATCTACAGAATTTTTTTTGCATATCAAACTCATTTTAACTTTAGTTTCATGGAAAAATGAAAGTAGCTAAATATGATTACAGAATCCAGATATGACTGAATTGACATGACTGCTCAGGGTAGAGTATTTAGGGAGCATGTAATTCACATTGGCTGTTGCTACAACTGCCAGTGTGTTACGATTGTGGTAAGGAGAAAACTTATAGGGAGACACATGTAAGATCTCGTAGCGTTGCTTTTTTGTTTGTTTGCTTGTTTTCCTGGTGGCTCATTCACCTGCTCCATGATTTTTTAAAATGGAGTGAGAAGCAATCTCAGGGGAGTAATGGTTCACCATATGGAGCTACAGGGATACCAGGAAAAACAATGGCACATGAACAAATTATTAAAACTCAAAAGAGTGGAGACACAAATGAGCTTTTTAATAAAGGCATATGCTGATAAGTATTTCTAACATGCATAAAAATGCCTTATTTACTTACGTAAATACAGTAATGATAAAACAAGCTTCATCGAGCTATGAAGACTTTTTAAAATGCCGCTCTCCCCTTCTGTAAACATTTCAGTGTCTTAGTGACAACAGCACCAGAACTGTATCTCCAGAAAGCCTTTTCTGTTCATGTGGAATATTTTTATGGTTAGATGCCCAATTAATCTTCTATAGTTTAGCTTTGTGGGGCTCAAATGTCTGCTTCATTTAGCTGTTATACCTCTAAATGGCCAGAGCTCTTTAAAATTTAACAAGTAAGAGGAGACTTGGGATGTACACAAGGAAAACACCATGTTCTCTAATACATTGTTACATGTTAAATCAAAATAATTAATAGAAACGATTATTCACGAAACAGATTTTCTTCTAAATGCTTAAACTACACTTTTATTTGCCTTAAATTTATGGCTCTGCTTCAGGTTCTACCATTTTTTTCCATGCTCAATGTTAAAACTTGCCTTTTCATGACATTTATACCCTTTGAATATTTATAAACTGCTACCACACTCTCAATTCTTTGCCTTTAAACTTGATTCATATTTTCATGGGTCCATGGATATTCCACAGTAAAATAGGAGCAGGTAAATGACAAAACACCAACCTCTTTTTTTGTTGTTGATAGGTTCTAAAATCCTTCATCTCATTCCAACAAGAAAGCTTTTAACTCTCTACCAATTTCTAACCATTAACTCTCATCTTTCATTCTTTATCCCTTCAAATCCTGACGATTCATGTACTTTAAGGCACTTTGGCAGATTTACAATACATAAATACTGGGAGAATCAGACTTTATGCCAGTAGTTGTAAACCATGGATGTACAGTGATTATTTTCAGAAATGGATGCAGGCGATGTCCACAGATGTTTGGAGTTTAGTCTCTTTGAAAATGTTGTATTTGAGTTATGATGGAAATAAACAAATACCAATGCAACTAAGCAATTAAGGCTTTGTTTCATTGGTTATGATAAACCAGTCCGTAAGCTGTGTGTTTTAAGTATATTACTAACTTCAAGATCTGACATTGGCCGAAATAGTAAGTACAAATGCCCTTAGTGAAAAAAAGATGTAATGAGTTGATTCTTATACCAAAAATGATGCTTGTTCTACATTTCCAATGACGTGGAAATGATAACTTTTACTATCAGAAAATAATTCTACCAACAATGAATAATATCTCCTTTGCATTCTACCTCAAAATTAATAACCTGTTCTGGGATTAGAAGTATTACATACATTAAATTTCACAAACAAACCCAAAATATCATCATCATCTTGTCTACCAAACATTTTTATCAGCTAATAATCTATATAAGGATTGAAGTCAGATTGTTGAGCTTTTACATAGAGATAAAACTATTCAGTTGGGTTGTGCAAATGAGAAACGGTATCAACAAAAACAGATACTCAAATAAAGGACAACTAGTGTCTGGATAATCAGCCCGTAAATACACTGGATTCTGTTATTTCTATGTTGCAATCACAGTTCTGGTAAGTTGTTACCGTGGCTTAAAGGTGGCTAAACTCATTTATTAGTTTTATTAGCATATCTGTACATTCCATTTGGTTTTCTACATAGTTGGTCATATTATTTACAAATAAAAAGTTTTATTTCTTCCTTTTTAATCTGAGGTTTCTGTGTTTTTATTTTGCCTTATTACACTGGGTAAGATCTTCAGTAAAATGTTGAATATAAGTGTTCAGAGTTGGCATCTTTGCCTTGTTTGTCATCTTCGAGGTGGAAGCATTTAGCCTTTCACCTTGAAAAGTGATGTTTTGATACTATATATAGGAAACTCTAAAGACTCCACACAAAAACTACTAGAGCTAATAAATGAATTCGGCAAGGTAGCAGGATACAAGATTAACATATAGAAATCTGATGCATTTCTTTACACTAACAATGAAATATCAGAAAAGTTAAAAAAAAAACTTTGAAAATTGCATCAAAAAAAAACTTATGAATAAACCTGACCAAGGAGGTGAATGACTTCTATATGCAGAGAAATATAAAACATTGATTAAGTAAATTAAAGATGTCTTAAAGAAATGGAAAGATACCTCATGCTCTTGGATTGGAAGAATTAATACTGTTAAAATGGCCATAGTACCCAAAGCAATCTACAGATTTAATGTGATCCCTGTCAAATTACCCCAGGACTTTTTTCACAGAAATAGAAAAAATAATCCTAAAATTTATATAGAGTCACAAAAGAGCCAGAATTGCCAAAGCAGTACTGAAGAAAAAGAATGAAGCTGGAATAACCCTCCCAGACTTCAGACAATACTACAGAGCACCACTAATCAAAACAACATGGTATTGGTACAAAAACAGGTTGATATGGATCAATGGAACAGAATGGCGAGCCCAGAAATAAACCCACACACCTATGGTCAATTAATCTTTAACAAAGGAGCCAAGAATTTACAATCAAGAAAAAACAGTCTCTTCAGCAAGTGGTGTTAAGAAAGCTGGACAGCTGCATGTAAGTCAATGAAGTTAGAACATTCCCTCACATCATACACAAAAATAAATTCAAAATGGCTTAATGATTTAAACATATGACAAGACACTATAAACCTCTTAGAAGAAAAAATAGGCAAACATCCTCTGACATAAATCTTAGCAATGTTCTCCTAGGGCAGTCTACCCAGTCAATAGAAATAAAAGCAAAAATAAACAAATACGACCTAAATAAACTTTTAAGTTTTTGCACAGCAAAGGAAATCACAAGCAAAAACAAAAAGACAACCTACAGAATGGGAGAAAATATTTGCTAAAGATGAGACTGACAAGGGCTTAATTTCCAGAATATATAAACAGCTCATTCAACTCAATAACAAAACAAACAACCCAATCCAAAAATGGGCAGAAGACCTAAACAAGAAATTCTCCAGTGAAGACATATAAATGGCCAATA